ACTTCCATTTTCCACAAATAAAATTTTTGTGAAGATTTATCTCCTCCAGCCTGACAATTTCAGAAAGGGAGGTCTCAGAAAACCTCCCACCCTCAAAGAGATTGTCTGGTATAAATATATGTCCTGGGGAATAATATATTATATATTATATATTATATAAAACATATCATAATATATAACATTTATTATATATATAAGTCCTGGGGAATAAAGGTGACCTCTCATTTCTTTCTCAGAGATTCTTTCAGATTTTCATTTTTTATTTCTTTTATTTCTCTTATAATCATAGAATGGCCTGGGTTGGAAGAGACCTTAAAGATCMTCAAGTTCCAACCACTTGYAGCATTTCTGCATGCTGCTATCCACACACGGCATTAAGACCACAGCCTTTGACAGSGAAGTAGATGGAAAATTATTATCTGAGAAACTACCAAATCAGARATGTAGAGACTGTCTATCACCTGAGCAGTTTTAAATGTGACACACAAATTGGTACAAATACATATAAATTACAGCATGCAAATACGATAATTAATAAAAAGAAAAATAAACTGAAAGTTTTGCAATCATGGCATCTAAATGACACAGTAAAAAATACCTGCAAAACTGGCTGATGCTTTTAAACTTCATCTAGACCTACAGGAAATGAAATGGTACCATATACCAAAACACTGAATTGAGCTTTATTGCTGTAGTAAATAGTAATATTTCCAATGGTGGAAAATGAAAAACAAATGCAAAAAAGTTTTCACAATGGGGATGGGGAAAAAGAAATTTGTTACCCAAGAAAAGAACACAGCAAGCAAGTTAACCTCAATAGCATGGTGCTGATAAAGCCACGGGATGTTTGTCCACATATGTACCCAAAAAGCAAAGTCTTTGTCATGCTGGATATAAGCAATATTATTACCCAGAATGAAACAAAGATAACTGCAGAACTGTAAATCAAGCTGTTTCCCAGAATCAGAATCTACCACACAGTTCAGTACCTAGCTTAGATGAATATATGGTATTACAGGAAATTAAGGGAATGAAACAACTGAGATAAAAGTCAAGGTCAGTGAACTTTTATCCTGGTTGCAATGGGTTTAATAATACTTCGAGTCTGATGATGAACCACCTCTGAAAAGTTGATAATGAGCAATACAGCAACAGAATAAAACACAACTGCACTAACAYAGAAAACAAATAATTTGCTAATCTGTATGATACTGAATTTATTTTAAATGAGAAAATAGCACATGAATGACTTTCAGACTCTCAGTGTCTCAGATATCACTGTTGCAGGCACATTTAAACCACACCAGTAATATGGTGGCCTGAACCACCCACATATGTTATCAGAAAATCTCATAGATTTATCCCACTCAGGAATATATATCCAATCAGTTGTGCTTTTTTTCTCCTTTTTTTTTCTTTTTTCCTCAGGCTCTTCAAAAGCAAATTAGATTATCTCAGACTAAGTGAGTTAAGTTCAGAGAGAAACACCCTGTAAAACTGCAAACAACGAGCTGGTACATCTGACTTAGGCCAAACTGAAAAAACATTTAGCCCAGGCTACTTTTAAATTTTGTTCTAGAAATTCAATAGAGAGCTAAACAACACCAATAAATATGCCACATTTACCTACATTCATTCAAACTTATGTAACTTTGATGGTAGAAGACATAAACCTGTATCTGCTGTAAAAGCGGACTTTATAAGCTTTAACTGAAGTTTCAGCCAAACCTCCCCCAGGCCTTAAAATTAACTAGGATTTTCCTTATGCAGCTTCACTGGGTTTTTTGTTTGGTTGGGTTTTTTTTTTTTTCACTTTTCCTTCCACTTTTTGTTTCAACCAAGTTAGCACTTGTCTCTACAGCCACACATTCCATATTTATATCCTTCATTTTCCCACTTCTCTTAGTCTTTTTCCTTTGTAGCTTTGTTTCACTTTGAGCTCCATTCTGCTGCTGTCACAACAGTAACAATATGCTTCCCAGTACACAGRCAGCTACAACATTCCCTCAGCATGACCACTGCCTAAGATTTCAGCCTGCAACTTCCCCCTAATTAACATCACACAGCATCCCCCTCAGGAGCACCGAGCAGGAATGCTATTTTCTCTCACTGCTTTACTCAAGGAGCCATGAGAAATGTTAAACTATTTCCTAACAGGAGTTTTAATTTACAACTAACTAGACTTCTGCCTGAATTTGCCTTGCATGGGTGGAAAATTGGAAGATAAGGAATAAGTCAAGGTGAAACCTCCCTGGTTTCTCCGTTATGAAAGAGTTTGGAAAGAAATGCACTCCAATAGCCCTCTGGCTCATACCACCATATATGCATTTTTCCATCAAGGGAACACTATTCCTCAGATAACTGAAATTAGAAGTTGATCTCATCTTCAGTGGTATTTGTCCTTGTTCTAACTGTCCCAGCCTAAACCAGAGCACTGGAGCCCTTAG